GTGTGTATGCCCAGAAGTGGGATTGCTGGGTCATATGGCAGTTCTATTTCCAGCTTTTTAAGAAATCTCCACACTGTTCTCCATAGCGGCCGTACTAGTTTGCATTCCCACCAACAGTGTAAGAGGGTTCCCTTTTCTCTACACCCTCTCCAGCATTTATTGCTTGTAGACTTTTGGATAGCAGCCATTCTGACTGGCGTGTAATGGTACCTCATTGTGGTTTTGATTTGCATTTCTCTGATAATGAGTGATGTTGAGCATCTTTTCATGTGTTTGTTAGGCATCTGTATGTCTTCTTTGGAGAAATGTCTGTTTAGTTCTTTGGCCCATTTTTTGATTGGGTCATTTATATTTCTGGAATTGAGCTTCAGGAGTTGCTTGTATATTTTTGAGATTAATCCTTTGTCTGTTGCTTCGTTTGCTATTATTTTCTCCCAATCTGAGGGCTGTCTTTTCACCTTGCTTATAGTTTCCTTTGTTGTGCAAAAGCTTTTAAGTTTCATTAGGTCCCATTTGTTTATTTTTGCATTTATTTCCAATATTCTGGGAGGTGGGTCATAGAGGATCCTGCTGTGATTTATGTCGGAGAGTGTTTTGCCTATGTTCTCCTCTAGGAGTTTTATAGTTTCTGGTCTTACATTTAGATCTTTAATCTATTTTGAGTTTATTTTTGTGTATGGTGTTAGAAAGTGTAAAAATATGGAACGCTTCACGAATTTGCCTGTCATCCTTGCGCAGGGGCCATGCTAATCTTCTCTGTATCGTTCCAATTTTAGTATATGTGCTGCCGAAGCGAGCACAGTCTTTTCATTTTAAAAAGACTTTTATTTATTTTTGGCTGTGCTGGATCTTCATTGCTCTGCTTGGGCTTTCTCGGGTTGTGGCAAGCAGGGGTTACTCTTTGTTATGATGTGTGGTCTTCTTATTGTGGTGACTTCTCTTGTTGTGGAGCACAGGCTTTAGGTGAGCCAGCTTCAGTGGCTGCAGTGAGTGGGCTCAGTAGTTGTGGCAAACAGGCTTATGAGCTACAGCCTCAACCTACTCAAGCTTTTCTTGCTCCTTGCACACCTGCTGCCTGGAAGCGTCACACTGGCAGCACAGTGGGGCATGTGCATTACACTCCCATTCAGCCTGAGCGATCTCCATTGATTCCAGCAGCAAAGGCTCTAGGCCTTGTAGTTTGTTCTGCCTTGCCCTACTCTGCCGAACCTCTGCACCTGCTGAGTGGATGAATGTGGGGTGGGAGTAGTCGGGCACAAGTACCAGAGGTTCTCACTGTTCTTACTCAGTGTTGAGCAGTTTTTAAAACATAAATGCTTCTTCCATTGTTGTATTTCTTTGGTCAGTTTCATCCTGTTTTATAAGTTGTTTTTGCGGCCCGGGGGTGGGGGAGGGGGCAACAAGGAGCAAGAATTGGCCTACCTTCTCATTAGTTCATAGCTAGAAGTCCTGCTTCTCAGAATGTTTCTTTTTCCAGTATAGTTAGTAATTTCCCCAGGTGTACTCACTGTCAGTCAGGATTGCTGTTGTTGTTCATTCGCCAAGCTGTGTCCGACTCTTTGCAGCCCCTTGAACTGCAGAATGCCAGACTTCCCTGTCCTTCTCTATCTCCCTGAGTTTACTCAAACTTATGTCCATTGAGTTGGTGATGCCATCCAACTATCTCATCCTCTGTCGCCCCCTTCTCCTCTTGTGCTCAATCTTTCCCAGCATCAGGGTCTTTTCCGTGAGTTGGCTCTTTGCATCAGGTGGCCAGAGTATTGGAGCTTCAGCATCAGTCCTTTCAATGAATATTCAGGACTGATTTCCTTTAGGATTGACTGGTTTGCTCTCCTTGCAGTCCAAGGGACTCTCAAGAGTCTTTTCCAACACCACAGTCCAAAGGCATCAATTCTTTGGTGCTCAGCTTTCTTTATAGTCCAACTCTCACATATGTTCATGACTATTGGAAAAACCATAACTTTGACTATAGGGATCTTTGTCAGCAAAGTGATATCTCTGCTTTTTAATATGCTGTCTAGATTTGTCATAGCTTTTCTTCCAAGGAGCAAGCGTCTTTTAATTTTGTGGCTGTAGTCACCATCCACAGTGATTTTGGAACCCAAGAAAATAAAATCTGTCTCTGTTTCCACTTTTTCCCCATCTATCTGCTGTGAAGTGATAGGACCAGATGCCATGATCTTCAGTTTTTGAATGTTGAGTTTTAAGCTAGCTTTTTCACTTTCCTCTTTCACTTTCATCAGAAGGCTCTTTAATTCCTCTTTACTTTCTGCCAGTAAAGGGGTACCTGCATATCTGAGGCTGTTGATATTTCTCTCGGCAGATTGCAGCTTGTGAGTCATCCAGCCCAGCATTTCTCATGATATGCTCTGCGTATAAGTTAAATAAGCAGGGTGACAGTATACAGCCTTGATGTACTCCTTTCCCGATTTTAAACCAGTCCGTTGTTCCATGTCGAGTTCTAACTGTTGTTTCTTGTCCCGCTTACAGGTTTCTTAGGAGGCAGGTAAGGTGGTCTGATATTCCCATCTCTTTAAGAATTTTCCACAGTTGGTTGTGATACACACAGTCAAAGGCTTTAGCGTAGTCAATGAAACAGAAGTAGATGTATTTTTAGAATCTGCTTGCTTTTTCTATGATCCAGTGGATGTTGGCAATTTGATCTGTGATTCCTCTGCCTTTTCTAAATCTGGCTTGTACATCTGGAATTTCTTGATTCACATACTGCTGAATCCTAGCTTGAAGGATTTTGAGTATAATTTTGCCAACATGTGAAACGAGTGCAGTTGTACAGTAATTTGAACATTCTTTGGCATTGCCTTTCTTTGGGATTGGAATGAAAACTGACCTTTTCCAGTTCTGTGGCTACTGCTGAGTTTTCCAAATTTGCTGGCATAATGAGTGCAGCACTCTTAACAACATCATCTTTTAGGGGGGTGTGTGTGTGTGTGTGTGTGTGTTTGTGTGTATAACTAAGAGTTTTTAAGGAATGTGATTATGGCACTGGCATTTCTAAAATCCATACAGCAGTCTGGCAGGTAAGAGGTGATGTTAGCTTTGAGTGTAAATTCTTCAGGACAGCAGGCTGGAAACTCAGAGTTTCTGTGTTGTTGTCTTGAGGAAAATCTCCCTTCTCTTCAGGAAATGTGTCTTTTCTCTTAATGACTTCAGTTGTTGGATGAAGTCCACCTGTGTTTTGTAGGATGACCTACTTTACTCACAGTTCAGTCTGTTAGATTTATTAGTCATTTAAAAAAAGAAAAAACCTTCTCAGAAACATTAGACTGGTGTTTGACCAAACACTGGGCACCATAGCCTAGCAAAGTTGACAGATAAAATTAAGTACCACGCTTGCTCTCTGAAATTCAGGTTAAATTTACATGCGCATAGTTTATGTGTCTAACATGTATGCCTCTGCTTTTTTTTTTTTCCATTTATTTTTATTAGTTGGAGGCTAATTACTTTACATCATTGCAGTGGTTTTTGTCATACATTGAAATGAATTAGCCATGGATTTACATGTATTCCCCATCCTGGTCCCCCCTCCCACCTCCCTCTCCACCCGATCCCTCTGGGTCTTCCCAGTGCACCAGGCCCGAGCACTTGTCTCATGCACCCAACCTGGGCTGGTGATCTGTTTCACCCTAATATACATGTTTCAATGCTGTTCTCTTGAAACATCCCACCCTCGCCTTCTCCCAGAGTCCACAAGTCTGTTCTATACATCTGAGTCTCTTTTTCTGTTTTGCATATAGGGTTATCGTTACCATCTTTCTAAATTCCATATATATGTGTTAGTATACTGTAATGGTCTTTATCTTTCTGGCTTACTTCGCTCTGTATAATGGGCTCCAGTTTCATCCATCTCATTAGAACTGATTCAAATGAATTCTTTTTAATGGCTGAGTAATATTCCATGGTGTATATGTACCACAGCTTCCTCATCCATTCGTCTGCTGATGGGCATCTAGGTTGCTTCCATGTCCTGTGTGCCTCTGCTTTTATGTGTCTGTTTCTTTGGTCATGGTGTATCTTCAGTTTAGAATATTCTTTGTGCCCAGATCTTATCTATTCTTCTGAAGGCTAGATCACAGACACACGCAGTTTTCTATGTACCCTATGCTAGCTCTTCTGAACTACTTCTTGGCACCTAATTACTGTGTTCGGTCTTGCCATTGTGCTTTTGCACACAAATTTCTGTTGCTTAGTGTAGTCTTTCCTTTTGTTTTATATAAGGCTTTTGCACCTTCCTGAGGCATGCTTTGTGTGCTTTTTCATTATACTCCCATGGTCTCCTTTGCTTATTTCTATTAAGGCACTGATCACATTTTACTGTCATTGTGTATCTGTCTGCCCATGAGACTATGTTTCCTGAGAGCAGGGGTCATTGCACTGCTGTCCTTTTCAAAGTTTATACTCAGCCAAGCCCAAGTATCTGGACTATAATCTAAATAAATACTTTATAGAATGAATAAACTGAATCTGTTGAAAATTTGGAAGTTGTATATTTCTTCTGTAATTTCTCTTTAAAATAGAATGTGGAGATAATGAATTCTTGGGGATGAAGCAGCTCTGACTGTCAGAGATGAACCTTGGGTTAGACTCTAAACATACTTGGGAATATTGAATATTTACTTGACTAACTAGAAATAATTTTATTTATTTTTCCATTCTGTGCAGTGTTTGTAGCTTCAGTATTGTTACATAAAGAAAAGCTATTTCTAATTAGAAATGTTGATTTATTTTTGCTTTCATTTATATATGCTTGTATTCTAAGAATATCAGTGTATTTAAGACTGCTTCAGCTTCTTTCTAGCTCAAATGTAATGTGATAACTGATGATTAATTTGTCAACAATCTCAGTGTGATGGTAAAATAACTTTTTCCTTCTCCTATTAGATGTTGGTCATCTTTCTGAAGTAGACTGTCCATGGCCTGAATGTTTTCTGAAAATCATTTGGAGCAAAATATCTGTTTAATAGCAAGATAATCACATCAAGATGGTTGGAAAACTGAAGCAGAATTTACTATTGGCATGTCTGGTGATTAGTTCAGTGACTGTATTTTACTTGGGCCAACACGCCATGGAATGCCATCACCGAATAGAAGAACGTAGCCAGCCCCTCAAACTGGAGAACATAAAGACCACTGTGCGAACTGTCCTGGACATCAAAGCCAATAAAACCTTTGCCTATCACAAAGATATGCCTTTAATATTTATTGGAGGTGTGCCACGGAGTGGAACCACGCTCATGAGGGCCATGCTAGATGCACACCCTGATATTCGCTGTGGAGAGGAAACCAGGGTCATTCCTCGAATCCTGGCTCTGAAGCAGATATGGTCACGGTCGAGTAAGGAGAAAATACGCTTGGATGAGGCTGGTGTCACTGATGAAGTGCTGGATTCTGCCATGCAGGCCTTCTTACTAGAAATCATTGTGAAGCATGGGGAGCCAGCCCCTTATTTATGTAATAAAGATCCTTTTGCCCTGAAATCCTTAACTTACCTTGCTAGGTTATTCCCCAATGCCAAATTTCTCCTGATGGTCCGAGATGGCCGGGCATCAGTGCATTCAATGATTTCTCGAAAAGTTACCATAGCTGGATTTGACCTGAACAGCTATAGGGACTGTTTGACCAAATGGAATCGTGCCATCGAGACCATGTATAACCAGTGTATGGAGGTTGGCTATAAAAAATGCATGTTAGTTCACTATGAGCAACTTGTCTTACATCCAGAACGATGGATGAGAACAGTCTTATTAAAGTTCCTCCAAATTCCTTGGAACCATTCAGTATTACACCATGAAGAGATGATTGGAAAAGCTGGGGGAGTATCTCTCTCAAAGTGAGTAGATTTTATGTTTTTTATTTGACCCTATATTCAGCTAATAAAGGTGTGTGTGTGTGTGTAAACTATAGCCCTTTCCTGGAATAGAGAGAGCTTCATCAATGAGTTCTTAAAAAATTCTCTAACTGGTTCATTACATTTTCATTTACTTAATTCATTTTTAAATTTATGAATTATCCTTTTTATGTACTTGATGGAGGCAAAAATGGAGGCAAACCCAATTTATAGCAGTAAAAGCATGGCAGACTTTCAAGTCTATCATTCAAATGTAATGGTTTCTGATATTTAATTTTCAGATATTTTTGTTAATAAGGATAGTTGACTTTTGTGTGGAGTATGGTCAATATGAGGAAAAGCATCTACCATATTGAAAGTGAAAGTGTTAGTTGCTCAGTCATGTCTGACTTTCTGTGACTCCGTGGACTGTAGTCCATGAGGCTCTTCTGTCCCTGGAATTCTCTAGGCAAGAATACTAGAGTGCGTTGCCATTTCCTTCTCCAGGGGATCTTCCTGACCCCGGGATTGAACCTGGGTCTCCTGCATTGCAGGCAGATGCTTTACCCTCTGAGCCACCAGAGACGCCCATAGATAGTAAATTCCAAGTATATAGAGCATTTTAGTGAGGGGAAAAATAAAGGTTAAAATTATCTAACTCAGTCCCTTCATTTTATAGGGAAGAGGTCTGAGTCAGAAAGATCAAAATGATTTACTCAAATTTAGCTGGCAGGGCCAGAATAGGAATCTGTGCTTTGGTCTAAATGAGCTGGTACATTTGTCCATGGCATTTTATTGCATCTAGTGTTTTCTTTTGTCATCTGATGGATACATCTTCCCTTGAGTTTTACAAAAGGTTAGAGAATCACTGAAATTTAGAAGTTTAATCCATAATCCATACTAGAAGTTCCTTGAATTAAAATACTTCTAAAATCATTGCAGTTTTCTTCCTTTCTCATAAAGTGATGACTAGATTGGCTTGACTTGATCTGATAACCTAACTTGATGACGTACACATCAAATAAGGACATAATGATATAAAAAATACTGTTAAATTCAGGTAGCATCTCCTCATGAAGAAAAGTTGACTTTAACTCTTTTTTTTTATCTTTCCACTTATAAAAGTAATATATATCCCCTGTAAAATAAAGAAAAAGCAATGAACTTCCCTCGTGTGTCCTACTTGCCCCTATCAAGGAATGTCTTCTTGATTTTTTTCAAGTGTAGAACTTATACAGTAAACATTGCTTCCTCATATGGATAATTTGAAAGGAACATCTACTTTTCTGCAGGTAGCTTTCAGTTACTGACTATAAATTATTAGGTATCATCACTCTAGTGGCTCCAGGTTATTTACATTGATTAAAAAAAATTGCAGTTTTAGCTCCTGTCATCACAGTTTATTGTTCTTTCCATATAATATACCATAACTTGTTTCTAATCATTTGTATTTCTAGGTAAGCATTTTATTCTGTATGCTTATATGTTGGCCCAGAAATTCTGATGTTTGTTCCATCTATTAATATAAAATAAGCCTATTAACACCCCCCATCTCTCCAAGTAGGGAGTAAAGAGATTGGCTGAAGTTAAATTTCTGTGGAAATCAGGAGAAAATAATTTTGCAGGGACTTCTCTGGCAGTCCAGTGGTTAAGACTTCTGACTTTCTACTATAGGGGCGCACGAGTTCAGTCCCTAGTTGGGGAACTAAAATCTTGCATGCCTCATGGTGTGGCCAAGGAAATTCATAGGAATTTTGAGTCAGTGAATTTTAGAAGGGGAAGAGACCTTATTTAGCTGTAATATATGGAACGCAGACCCTGTGAAGTTTTATTCTTTGTCAAGAATCACACATGGCAGAACTAGAACTTCCAATGCCTATTCCAAGATTCTTGCCACTATGAGTTTTTTTAAATTAAGATATATAGTAAATTACAAATATTCAGTGTTCAATTTGATGAATGCTTACAGCTCTATACACTTGTGTTCTCACCATACATATAAAGATATTTTAAAAATTATTGGCATTTAGGAGACTCCTGTATGCTCCTTCCTAGTCAATATCCTCCTCAACCCCAAAGTAACCACTGTTTCAGTCTCTTTCACCAGAGGTGATGAGGTTGCATATGAAGTTCAAAAACAGTCTTGCTTGTTTTTGAGCTTGATATAAATGCTATCATGTCTATTTACTATCTTGTTCCTGGATTTTTTTCATGTAATATTTAGATTCACCTATAGTATCTTACATAACAATAGTTCATTCTTTTTCCATTATTATGTGATATTTCAGTATGTAAATATAACATTATTTACATATGCTTTATCTCAGTTTTCATATTTACTCTTTTACCATTACCCACGGATACTTTAAAAACCTCCATTTTATAGATGAAAGGCCTATTCCTCTCAGAGAGGTTGAGGAGCTTGTCCTCAGTTCCACAGTTGAAACATAGTAGAAAGAGGATATGGGTTCATGTCTCTACATCTTTAGAAACTGTGCTCTTAACCTCTGTGTTATATTTACATTACAGGGCTTATGAATATTAAATAAAATAAGGACTGTGAAAGTGGCTAAACATTCAGACAAAGGTCCAAATCCTAGCTCTACCCTTTATTAGTTGTATGACCTTGAGTGAGTTACTTGATTTTGCTTATTCTTAGTTACCTCATCTTCCCCCTTAGTTTTCTTATCCTGGAAATGGAGATGGAAACAATATCCATTAAGGTTGTCCTGAAGACTTAATTAGGTGACTATAAAGTCTTAGCCCAGTGCCTGGCATTAGTAGGTGATCAAAAATGTTACCTATTGGGAATTCCCTGGCGGTCCAGTAGTTAGGACTCTGCACTTTCGCCGATAAGAGCTTGGGTTCAATCCCTGGTCAGGGAACTAAGATCTCACAAACTGCACAGTGTGGCAAAAAGTGTTACCTGTTATCTTTATTATTATTATTATTATAATCAAGATGATGATAACCGTACCCATTGTGGATGGTGGTCATAGTATGTACTTCATAGAATTGTTGTAAGGATTAAATTAAAATTACTGTAAAGCCTTTAGTACAGGCCCTGGCATAAATGTTATAGTATATATTTAAAAATTATTATTAAATCCTTATGCTTTGTCAAAAAAAAAAAATGCATGTGAAACACCTAGCATGGTACCTAGTACAGTACCAAGTGCTTCATAAGCTTTTGTTACCACACATTCTCTATAAGTTTTTTAGTGTAGAGATAGTCTTAAGTGATGAATGAAGCAAAATGGGCACCTGATTGAACAACTCTTCTCGGGATACTGACAGGGCAGATTGGCTTTACAGTAGCAATATTTGAAACTGCTTGATGGTGATCATCTGTTATTATTGTCATGTTTTTCCCCTTTTGTTTGTTTAGTTTTCCTATTTGTGAACTTCAAATAAATGGGATCATAATCTGTTTTCTTCTGTCCATTTTTGTTTTCTTTTAACATTATCTTGAGATTTATCTTTCTAAGGTATATAACTATTTTTAATTTGTTTTTATGGCCATAGTACTATTCTGATATAATCAATTAATAATAATAGATCCAATTATGTATACTATTGATGACCATTTGAGTTGTTTTGGTTTAGAGCTACGTACATTTTTTTAAGGTTCTTCCTCTTCAAGAGTTTCTCTACAATGCACACCTAAGCATAGGATTGCTAGACCATGGGGGATATTTGTATTCAGCTTCACTAGGTAATGCCAAATTGTTTCCCAAAGAGTTCACAGTAGCTTACACTGCTACTGTCAATATAAAAATCCCCAGGAATCTATATCCTCATCAACATGGCTTAAAAAAAAAAACAGCAAACCTTCTTATTTAATGTTACTATAGAATACAGCCTGTCTTTTTAATTTTTCTAACTGAGTAAGAGTAAATGGTACTTCATTGAAATTTCAGTTTGTAATTCTCTGTTAATGAATTTGAGCACCTTATATTGTCATTGGTTATTGGTAGTTCTCTTTTATTCCCACTTAAAAGGTTGTGTTTAAGAAGGAAAATCTAGAGCCATTCTTAGAAAGGATACAGATGGAGAAGTACATAGGGTGAGGTCTGGAAGGGTCCCAAAACAGGAGCTTCTGGCCCCATGATATAAGGATACTCTGCCCTCCACATATGGATATATTCACCAACCTGGAAGTTCCTAAAAATATAGTGACTTTAGTGTTTGCTTAAAATAGCAAATGTGTATTTTGTCACAGTTTTGGTGGGTTGATAATATGGGCTTGTCTTAGCTGAGTCTCATAGCTCAGAATCTCTTACAGGCTGCAGTCAAGGTTAACTGGTAAGGGACTGTTTCCCAGCTCATGTGGTTTTGGGCAGGATTCAGTTCCTCATGGGTGTTGGATGGAGGACCTCGCTTCCTTGCCATGAAGCTTTCTCTCTATGGTTACTAACACAGCAGCTGACTTCATCAGAGCAAGCAAATGAAAAGAGTCAAGGAGAGTGAGCAAGACAGAATTCACATCTTCTTAACCTAATCTTGCAAATAACATCCTATCATCTTTGCCATATTCATTAGCAGCAAGTCTCTAGGCCCAGCCACAATCAAGGGGAGGGGATTACACAAAGGAATACCTGGAGTTGGGAATCATTTTAGAAGAAGTCAACCAATCTGCCCTCTGGTTGCCAATGACTCATATACAAAATATACTTTCCCTCTCACCAAGTCCCAAAATTCTCATCCTGTTACAAACTCAGAGTCCTTCATCTTCCCATCTAAATCAGGTCTAGTTTTGGATGAGACTTCTGGGTGTAGTTCCTTACTAAATACAGATCCTTGAGTACAATAGCTTTCAATCTGAAGATACGTCTAAAGATACAAGTTATGTCCCCACCCCGCCCCCAATGCCAGTATAAAATGGTGGAACAGGCATAAGATAGTAGACCTTCTTATTTAAAATGAAGGTAAATGGGGGGAGAGGAAAAGGTATCACTGTTCAGTCGCTCAGTCGTGTCAGACTCTTTGTGAACCCGTGGACT